AGAGGGGTACTGAAGAAACTGTAAATATGTATGTAAATAGAGGGGTACTGAAAAAACTGTAAATATGAATGTAAATAGAGGGGTACTGAAAAACTGTAAATATGTATGTAAATAGAGGGGTACTGAAAAAACTGTAAATATGTATGTAAATAGAGGGGTACTGAAAAACTGTAAATATGCAAGTACCCCTCTATTTACATGAAAAAACTGTAAATTGCATTATTTACAGTTTTTTCAGTACCCCTCTATTTACATGTATGTGAATAGAAGAGTACTGAAAAAACTGTAAATGTGTATGTAAATAGAGGGGTACTGAAAAAACTGTAAATATGTATTTTGGAGGTTCAAATGGACAAAAGTATTCTTGTTCTTCACATTCCGCTCTGACATGTCGGAGTCATACTGACATCAATTCACAAACATATCTGAAGTATAAATACTTTTGTAACAGATTTGTACATATGACTAAAATTTTGCCACATTTGACATAGACACACATAGTAAATTCAGAATTATAATAATTTTTCCTTTACCAATATGAGATCGGCTCAGTGGACTGACCATGTGCACGTTTATTTAAAAAACTGTTAAGGATGTACAGATTCATTTTACTAAGTTCCAAATGGGCAGTTGTTGTCATAATAAGAACAATGTCGAACAAACCTTATTTATTTTTAATCTGATTACTTATGTTTCAGTTACCCTCTTTTTATTTTGTGTGTGTGTGTGTAGACTCTTACACTTTATTTTGTAAATTAAAATTGTAGTCCAAAAGAGTCATACTGAAAAAAAGTAAGTGGAGTAGATGTCTGTGGTGCAACTGCTCCATTGTTTTTAAAGTAATAATGAGATAAAGTCTTGTTCAACAGGAAGGTTTCTTTACCCACCTTCAGCACCATGATGACTAGCAAGCCTGCTTCAGTCAACACAAGTACTGATCCACAGTTCCTGATCAAACGGCCCCCTCCTGACTACGATGAAGCCACCAAACAGTTGAACAAATCCAAAAAGGTCAGAAATAAAAGTTCTGAGGAAATATGTTTGTTTTATAAAGAATCCCCTGCAAATGCGTAAGGAATCAAGTTGTACGTTACTTCTTCCTTCAGATGCAGGTGTCTGTTAACACATAATCATTGCATGATGTATTATCATATCATTAATCACTTATTACTTTACACACAAATAACTTGTGACAATAAATAAATTTCCTACTTACATCTTGTCTTAGCTTAAACTACAGTAATGTACAAGGTGTCTGTTGTTGATTCGTTTGTGACATAGTGTTATGTTTATTATTGTGGTTGTATATAAATACTTAACTGCTGAGTTAGATAACGAGATTTTGTTAGTAGTATTTTCACTAGTACCGCTTATACAATCAATATCGTGTAGGTGGCCGTCTACAGGTGCCTGAAAGGATTCACCTCTCAACTTATGAATGTCAGTTGTCTAGGGTTTACAAACTTTGCTACTTATCGTTACACGTTAATAAACATTTCACAGGACTACTTGATGTGTCGTTTTTGAGCTAGTCGAAGCTATCGTAGATGACCTAATCATAATGTTACAGAACAAGATCCTCACAGGTTTAAATCTTGACCTTCTGTTCTCAGATAGGAACAATAGAAAATAATTTTAACTTTTGAACATTAAAAGTTCCCCTCAATTGAGTATGAATTCTAAATAGACAGTCTGTTTTACAGGGAAGTGTTCTTGTATTATACTTTTGCAATTTTGTAGCTTATACAGGTGAAAACATTATTTAATAGCATGCTGAACTCCATGTTATATTAATCAACACAATTATTTACTAACATAACATGTATTTATATTAAAGGTTTTTAAAATTTGTAACTAAGAGAAAAATAATATTCAAAATGAGTTTTAAAGTGTTTAATTTAACATTTCGTGATTCTTTAGTTTTTACATAATTCCCTAAATTAAATGCATTTACATTGTATCATCTCAATCAAAATTCAAATTAACAAATATTTAACAAGAAAGTCAATCAAGTACAACAGATTTTACTGTTGATTAATAAACTCTAGAATGTTTTGTTTCTATTTTTGCAAAAAAGAAAAATCAGTATTTTTTATGTTTAGTATTAAAACCAGTAAAAACCAAAGTAAGCATTATTTTAAATTATTATTTACACAGAACCAGTCATATCCAGCTTTAATGAGTCACCTCAATAACTGTCATTCTGGTCGCAAATCTGTCAAGAGTCAAGCAGTTGACGACGTGTTGGAGATTTTGATCAAAAATGGAGGTAAGTACTGAATGCCACTGTGTAAGTTTTCTAAAAACGATTATTTTTTAGTAGAAAAGTTAGTGATACATATAAACATCCTTCTCAAAGATGCTTAGAATTTGGTTATGAAATAACTGATGATCTTTGCATCATATTTCATTTATGTGTATTGGACATTGTAAAGGATACTCATTCACCAACAAAAATCATTTGAACTTTTTATATAGTTAAGTAAACGTATTTGTAAATATTAAGTACATTACATGCCTTTAAACATACAGAAATAAGAAAAATATAGCTTTGTAATAATTTTCAACTGTGATTTTTTTTCCATTCACTTAGAACTGCCACCTAGTGCTGCTCAAGAACCACCGACTCCAACTACCCTTGAAAGTCAAGCTGTAACCAAAGCACAACCAACAACTTTCCCGGTAATTACCACCACATCAGCACCGATCCCACCACCACTTCCAACTTCCACACCTCAGCCTATTCATCAAGCTGTCCCTTCTTTTGTTTCCCCTAATTCCAGCTCAGCTTCTTGTGTTCCAGCAAGTTTAACCATGAGTCCGCCATCTACTGTTCTGAATGAAGCAGACCACAGTCCCTCTACAGCTCTTGACTTTGACCTTCACCTGGATTTAGATGATTTTGAAGGAATGGACCTTGGAGTGCTAGTACCTAGCGAGGAGCAGAAAATAGATACTACTGCTACTTATAACCAGCAATCAGCCCAGATTAGTCAACCTAGTACAGGGAGACATTCTATCAACACCCCAACTCCTAATGTTGGAGCAGAATTCCATGACCCAGGTATGGACATTGAACTGACAGATTGGCTGGATGCCATGATGCCACCCACTAGTGGAATGACGGTGAACAACACTCAGTCCAGCTATAGTGGACCTAATGACCATGACCCGCTACTGTCCAATATGAGTGCCCCGCATGACCCTTTTGACCTGTTATCTGTAGAAGATATGGATTTCAAGACTCCAACTTTAATGTGGGATTTTGCTACCTAAGGACATTTCTGTGATATGGAGTGGTCCAGCTTTATTTATTTTTTTCTTTAACTTTTATCAGTCACTTATTGGCTATGATATTTAGAGTTAGAGGTGCAAGCTTGTGCCTTGTGACTGTGTGGTCAAGACAAAAAGTGAAGCAAAGAATTGAGGACCAAGAACACTCAATGGTGTTTGGACCACAGTACAGGAACATTTTTTAATTGTTCCAAATCAAGAAGTGGACTGACTTGTAATAAAACACATGGAATTATATGTGTTTCTCTTAATCCACTGAAAAAGTTTATCCAGCTTAGAAAGCTTGAGATAGATTAGCTTTCATTAACCAAAAGTTGATTTAGTGAAATTGCTTATTGATCAAAACTTATCTTCCAGAATTGTTTTACATAGGATTGTTATGTACTGTATCAGTAAATTGTGTTTATTATTTCATACTGTATAGCTTTAAAAAGTTGCTTTAATTATATATATGCACTAGATTTTTTTCTTTTCTTTTTGTGAGTTGCTTTCAAGCCCATATTCAAAGGACAGAGCTGGTACACCTCAGGTAAAAGCTATTTCTTAATACTTTACCATCAGATGATTCATTTGTTAATCATTAGAGAGGCAAGTTTATGGTTACACTTCATTTTTATAACTTGATTTTCAAAATTTATACTTCTTAAATACTTTATACAAACAGAAATTGCTGATACTTTAAATCAAGCTTCCTTCCTTTGTAAAGTATGAAGAAATTTGTTTAATAGATAACATTCTTTCCCGAGGTTTATTAGCTACATTCCTTGAATGCTATGGGCTGGAACCATCAATTATGTACAGTTGTGTAAAGTAAACAGATTATTTAAAATGTGTAAGCTATACAGTGTTTGGTTGGTTTTAACTAACAAGATTATACAAATTTTTAGTTGGATCTTATAAGGAATTTTTAAGTGTAAGATAGATGTTTCAATGTAACCGGTTTACATCCAAAGCCAGAGATGTTTTAGTTGGTTAAATGTTGCGTAACGAGTGCCATACAAAGCCAGAGATGTGTTAGTTGGTTAAATGTTGTGTAACGAGTGCCATACAAAGCCAGAGATGTGTTAGTTGGTTAAATGTTGTGTAACGAGTGCCATACAAAGCCAGAGATGTGTTAGTTGGTTAAATGTTGTGTAACGAGTGCCATACAAAGCCAGAGATGTGTTAGTTGGTTAAATGTTGTGTAACGAGTGCCATACAAAGCCAGAGATGTTTTAGTTGGTTAAATGTTGTGTAACGAGTGCCATACAAAGCCATAAATGTGTTAGACGGTTACATGTTATGTAACAAATGCCATCCTCAAATTAATATTTGTTGTGATTAAAAATAAGTTTGATCATTATTAAAAGCAGTGCTTGAAGCAGGGCCCGAAACCATCCTGCTACCTTTTAGTAGCCTGTAAGGTTCCCAGAAGGGAAAGGAGACGATGCAATGAATATTTATGACAGCAAGGTACTTGGGAGACAAACTATACATATTTTTCTTAAAATGTCATGTAAGAGCAAGGTAGGAATGATACAAAGTAGTACAAGGATGGAGCATATCAATTCTCTCGCTACGGGCTCGGTCACCGTGACAGAACTCGTAACTACAAGGTAACCACCAGTTTCTATACTATAACTTGTAATAGTATACACCTATTTATACTTAATTTTGCCTTTTGAACCGTGCCCAACTAGTAATCTCACCACCCAAATTGTAAATCACTCGGAGAAGAAATACATAATATACGAGCTGCTCAAAATTATACCTCGAGAATTTTTTATTTTAATTAATATAACCTAATAAGTTTGTAATTTTAGTTACTTTTAAAACAAATATTGTATTCAGCTTCCAACATTTCACAAACCATCTTGCTTCCTCATTTTTCCACTGCTTCAAGCACTGATTAGAAGGTTTTTATAGGCAAGATATTAATAAACCCATTGAAAGTTCAGTTATAAAATATATTTATGAAATCATAAAGACTTATTTTTATTTATTACATCAGTAACATAGTTTGTTACTGATCATCCAAAGGTTAGTTTCATGATACTGGTGCCTTATTGTCCATTATTTTTAAGCCTAATATGGATCTGACATGCATTTACGCATGTTATATACAAGCCAGTTTGAAAAGTTGGTTTTATCCCCTGGAGATTTTTCTTCCTAAAAAATGGCATGGCAGTCAATAACATCATTTTCTTCTGTATTGATTATCTTGTTTTTAGTGCCATATAGTTTAGCTACTTCCCCATTGCAGAAGTAGTCAAATAGATTGTGTAAAGAGGAAACATTACTTAACTAGTAAATATTCATATGAACACATTGTAATTAATAATCATAAAAGTAATTAACAACGTTAATTCTAGAATTAAATACATAACTGAAGTTACATTTATGTTCTCTGCTATAGATAGAATTATAGAAATTGGTATAAAATAAAATATTAATGCGATTTATAGTTCTAGCTTAGAACCTAAGCTATAAATACGTGTAACTGTGATGTATATTCATGTCAGCATTGTTAGTTACCTTTAATCTTAAGAGAGAAATTAAATGTGCCTGTCATTTTTACATAAAAATACCTTATTTAAAAAACTTTATATTCAGAATCTCTACTACTATTTCATACTATTCAGATCAGTTTACGATTTAAACTAATTTCATACTAAACACCTACAGTTCCTGGATTATCCAAATCCTAGTACTTATACAGGGATTTAATAAATAATGTTTGTGTCTATATATATACACACACACATGCAGTGTTCTGGATTGACTTGGTACTTACTGGCATTGGAATTTAATAATTGTATGGACTGTATGAAAATGAGATGCAGTAAAGAACTAATGAAACATAAAAAGTGTTGAAATATTTACAAATGTGAAACAGATCACTGAATCAATAATAAATTACTTTTCTCAGTTACATATCAATATCAAGAGTTTGATAAGAACATATTAAAAAATACAATAGGAATGGATTAAAATAATAAGTGGAAGATTCCTTACACAGTGTAGATATGTATGCAAGAAACCAAAAAATTTACATATATATATATATATATATAATTAACTTACTATAAAGTGATGCAGTAAATGACATAACATGTGACAGGCTATTTTCAAATGAATAACGTAAAGCTGATTTAAGACTAGTAAGTGCCTTTCTAAGCATGATGGATACAGATATTTTACTTTAACCCTAAAAAGTACTAATGTGGTTTATGCAATGCTTGTAGGTCTGTAACTTTGTTAGTTACGAGTCTTCTGACTGTTGCTGTGATATTCATAGATAACTCTTTCAGTGTCAGGTTCATTTTTAGATACACATTGAAAACTAAAAGACAAGTTTTAATATTTTATTTATCTGAAACTTTAAATTGGTAAAGTTTGAATGGGTAATTCTTTCTCTTGGTGGTACAAGACTCTTTACTCACAAGGTTTGGTTTGTTTTGAATTTTGCACAAAGCTACACGAGAGTTACCTGCATTAGATGTCCATAATATAGCAGTGATAGACTATAGGGAAGGCAGTTAGTCAATACCACCCACCACCAATTCTTGGGCTACTCTTTTTACCAACAAATAGTAAGATTGACCATGACATTATAATGCCCCACAGCTGAAAGGGTGAGCATGTTTGATGATGGGAGATTCGAACCCACGACCTGCAGATTGACTTAATATTTTCTACTTCTTAATAATTAGCTGGATACTTACTTTTATTAGAAACTTTGAACTGAATATAATGTGAAAGAATTAGATATACGATAATGTGTACCTACCCATTATGTTTAAGGGCTTTGTTCACACAAATGATTTATACATAATGTGTACCTACCCATTATGTTTAAGGGCTTTGTTCACACAAATGATTTATACATAATGTGTACCTACCCATTATGTTTAAGGGCTTTGTTCACACAAATGATTTATACATAATGTGTACCTACCCATTATGTTTAAGGGCTTTGTTCACACAAATGATTTATACATAATGTGTACCTAACCATTATGTTTAAGGGCTTTGGTCACACAAATGATTTATACATAATGTGTACCTACCCATTATGTTTAAGGGCTTTGTTCACACAAATGATTTATACATAATGTGTACCTAACCATTATGTTTAAGGGCTTTGTTCACACAAATGATTTATACATAATGTGTACCTACCCATTATGTTTAAGGGCTTTGACACAAATGATTTATACAATCATGATTTAAATATCTACTTCAACACACAATACCACAAATATACTGAAAATAAACTAATTTATAATAAAATGTAATCTAAACATGCGAGAACAACTGGGATGACACTGTTGTAGATGAGGCAGGTATGATAATTGTAATTTTCACCATCTAATTCTTGACTGCCAGGTTTAATATACAATAAAAACCAACAAACCTCTTTTAATAATGGTTGGAGATGGCTTGAATGGGTAATGAAGAAAAACTTTAATATAAGTTTA